CTTATGTACCCCAATCCCTTTAACCCCATGTGAGATCTGTTTGTTGAGTGTTTCTGAATCTGGATGTTTTATGACCAATTGATTGTCTGCTGTTTTCAAAAGAGTTTTGGTACTTTTCTCAAATTGTCTTTTACCACCAAACTATTTCCTGTTTCAGAAAACCTTTTTACTCCTAGAAGTCATCTCTGTACTATTTTCAAAATCTTTTCAAACTATGTCAAGCACTCTCACTTTATTCTTAGATTACTAGGTTCTGCCCTCTGATATGTGTACTGCCTTGAGACCCTGGAGATCTCTCTGAACTCTGGCATATCAGGGCTGGCACTTCCACACTGCACAATAATCAGTTACTATTTGAGAAAGTCTAGGTGTGAGCACTGCCCGGGATTCTTGAGGTCCTTTGGGAACTCTGACACACCTAGACATGAAATTGGCTATGGAACTTTGGCATTTGAGACTACTGGAGGCTTGAAAATCATTTGGGCCTACTGCAGGCTCCCTATAGCTTAGCTTCTATTTTATTTATGTAATTTATATTCAGTTCTGGGTCTGTAATAATTATTGCAAACAAACATTTGGGGTGATTAGTGAAAAGGGGTGGGCAGTTGCATATTGTGGGTAAAATCGGGTAGATAACATGCCTATAGGGTCTATTTTAATGTGTTTGTTAGATAATATGCCTATAGGACTTGCTTTGGTGAATTATGCATGCTTTACTTTCACACAATTAGAAGCCATGCCTATAGGATTTAAATAAGCTCTATAACTAGATATCATGCCTATAGGGTGTAAAGTAATTGAAGTCCAGTTTCCCTTACAGCATGTATTCAAATTCATCTCCTTAGAAATTATGTCTATAGGATTAAAACGACTTTAACAGAAATCATGCCTATAGGATCTAAAATCAGCCTAACGTTAACCCACGCCTGCAAGTTCTGAATCAGATTAACTAACTTACTCGTTTTCTCAATCAATGTCAGTAGAAAGCATGCCCATAGGATTCAAATCTCCTGTTTAAACTTGCTAACTGTTTTTTGTATTCCTAATCAGCAATAGATACCGGGTATCACTATTCTGCGCCTAGGCAAACCTGTAGGGGATTAAAATTCTGCAACTGTAAAACCATGTTCTGTTATCCATGATTGTTCATATTCAACAGGTCTAAAATCAGTAGGCAAGCTGAATAGGTCTTTGACACTTTGGTCCTAGTTAAATACTAAATACTCTTTGCTCACCTAGATATCATGTTCTAAGGTTTTTTCTCTTAAACGGTTGTTTGAGACGTGCACTTATTTGTTTCTGCTTGTGGAGGTAAAATGTGAGCCTTTAATTGTTCCCCCCTTTAAATGCAGTCCTACTTGTTTTGGTTGACGCTTAGACTTTTCTCCTTTAAATACTTTAGGATGGTCTAGAACTACCTAAACTATAGGTCCTAAATATCTCCAGGTCCACAAGGAAGGGACGAGTAGTGCACGCATAGGATATCTTTCAAGGTTGCTAGAACGCTTTAGGCTATGACCAAGGGAGGGAATTGGGTAGTAAGGATATGATGACTACGCGCTAATGCCACGTGTAGCCCCTCATTGAGGAGTGATTACCGGGCATTGTGTGGGTATAATCCTGTAGGCTAACCAACCTAGGACCCCCTTTCCAACTCTCGTTGTTTAAATGAATTTACTTTTCTTTATATATGTGCAACTTGTTCAAACCTTTTCCCTTGTTTCATCACTTGAACTATATATGTGCTTAAAATGTCAAAACATGTCTTTACTTGCAAGTACGTGGTCAAACTGTTTATCTGTTAAAATGACTAAATCACATGAGTATAAGTTCGGCCGGGACCCATCGTTGTGGACCGCGAGGGGTGCCTAACACCTTCCCCTCAAGGTTATTTCGAGCCCTTACCCTAAATCTTTGGTAATGCAAACTAGTCCATGAGTTAATTGCTCAAGGTGCCCTAACGCACCATAATTCGTTAGGTGGCGACTCTTCAAATAGATAATTCCCAAAAGGAAATGAGTCGATCCCCCATGAAATATCGAAACCCGAACATTCTCCGCGAGGAGAAGAAAAAGGGGGCGCGACAGGCCCGGTCTCGTCCGATTTGCGCCAATAACAAGAGAAACATGTCATACTCCGTTCATAGACCATCAAGTGAGTGTGGGAATGTAAAAATAGGGTAGGGTGTGCCCTTTCTTTCAGGAAGGCCGCGCAGCAAGCTGCTGTCCCTTCACGAGCGATGGGAGTACGGGCCCATATGTGGGGTGAAAATAGGGTTGTGGTTACGCTAGGTGACCGGGATCCTATTTTGAACATGCGTTCGTCGTGTCGAACCTACTATTACGGGCGAGAAGTGGGTTTTGCATAGATATTGGTTATAACTTCTACTTTAGGTAACGTTTTGACCTAGATTGGTATGGTTGTCTCGAAGGCTTACCTACCGCTCTTTCGAGTGGGTGGTAGCGCCAAGAAGGTGAGGCCATGTCAGCCTGGTAGCGATATTCCGCTGATTCTGGATCTGAAGGAAACTTACAAATTTGGCTAAGAAATCCCCACAGACGGCGCCAATTTGTTTGACCAAAAAGTATTAAACTTTTTGTTAAACCAATTAATGAATGGAATAAAGGATAAATCTTAGCCAAAGGTAATTAACTTTAGATCGCAACATATTGAGCATAAAAATTGGAAGAGAATAAGCTGATTTATTATTTCTTGAGATAGCTATCATACGTTAAGCGAGAATGGTAAGCTTACATATGTGAAATACTTGGATTACAGTGGAAGGAGTACAAAAGATGAAAAGGAAGCTGCAGATAATTGAAGAATCTTCTCCCCTTGGCTTCATAGTAGTGCTCTTCTTAGTCATAGCCAGTCCCCTCTTTCACAGTTCCCTCTTCCCCTGTATATATAAACAATGTCCCCTTTTATCCAACGGTCTTTGACCAGTCTCCTTTCCAGCGACAGTCCTTTGTTACTTATCCAAGACCGTATGCTTATCCCGCGGTGTAAGCTTTTTGACGGCCTGACCTCGACAGGGACCGTGGAGCCGTCGCCATTACGCCTCGTAAACACGGCCATGTCGGGGTCAACATTTTTTATTGCCTCCCGCCATCAGGGTCAGATTTGACTCATACACCAACCATATGTGAGGTGTGGTACGCGAAGGCAAAGGGACATTCTACACATCGGATACAAGAGGGTCTGGCAATTTTTTTTTGCCAGTTGCTCGTGTTGTTTTACACGGAAGCATGTTAATTTATTTTTATTGTCTAAAATTTAATGGAATGTTTCCAAATGATTATTGTAATGATAGTAAATCCTTGTTTCTTGGATATCCGGAGTCAGTGTGCGAGGAAGGCAGCAGGTTTTCTTTGTTTCTTTCTCTCTCTTATTTTGTGCAATAAAATAGAATATTACTCCCCATGTTCCAATTTGGGTATTATTGTTTGGACTCTGAGAGACAAATAAGTTTTTGTTTGATAGCATTTTTATATATTTTAAATAGTTAATTATTATTGCCTTAAAAATATTTTGTTAAAATATACAAATTTTATTTTTTTAAAAAAAAAACTTAAAATCTTTATGTTCGAATCCACAGTCAGGATTTAAAAAATTGGCTCTTGATATTCGAATAGTGCCACGTAACTTGGCACAAAGGAGTAACTAAAAATAATTATATTATGATGGAAAATGTATAAACACCAAAAGCTGGAGAATACTGTAGAGAAGTCCATAAACAAATTCTAATTTCTAAAAGAATATTGAATAAAAGTAACATATAATGGAATTATAGAAGTTTTAAGATCATTCTTGGATTACCGAAATTCAATGAAGTTTAAAAAAGGGAAAATTTCACATTAGAACAACTGAGCTCCATACTTTTCAATTTTATAGCCTATGTTTCAATTTACAACCAACTAGCCCATAAATAATAGGCTAAGATTCAACATCCAACTCCAATAGGTTCTCAAAATTATTATTTAATTTTTAAAAAAGATTCCTCAAGCTTTTAAATTACTTTTCGAATCAGTAATTGTGACTCAAATATTAATTCAACAAACCAACTTCATTTGGGTGGTGAAAATTAGATTTTTAACAAGCTTAAATATGTGGGTTTAAATTTCGAATTTGATTTTATGAAAAATTTGGAGTGGGTGTTATTTAGACTTGTTAGAAATAGTATAAGGAGGTTGTATATAAAATTTGAAGTCATTTAATGGAGATTTGGACTGGTTTTGAATAAGAATTGCAACTGAAAATCGTGGAAGAAGTTCGTCTACAGACGCTTGTATAAATGTGTATAAAAATGTATAACAGTGTATAAGGTGTGTTTCTACACTCATATACAATATTATACAAGATTATACATTATTATACAAAAAACCGACTTCGTCTTCTTTCTTGCGTCTTTTCTGAAATTTAATTCAAATCTTGCTCAAATCTACTCCAAATCACTTCAAATTTAAATTTTGTACTCCTTTTGATATTTTCAATCAATTGGAACAATACCCAATCCAAACAACTAACAAATTCAAAACAACGCATTTTCAAAAGCAAAGCTTTGAATGATCTTCAATGGTGGACTTCTACTCTTCAATTTTCTTTCATTGCAAGCAGGTGACACAAGAGTAGAAGCAGAAAATACACGGTCCTTTGAAGCATATGTAAAGGATGTGAGAAGAAGAGAGAGTGAAAGCAATAGTTGTGAGAACAAAGAATTAACTCCATAGTATTTAGAAGCAATTGTTGTAAAAACATATATTTTGAATTTGCAAGTGCTTTTAAAATATGTATAATGTGGGCTAGGTGGGGTAAAACTTAAAAACATGGGCCATTTTTTATTATGGTGTGAAGTCATGTGTATTTTCTTGTAATTCTTTCTTTAAAAAATTAGAGATACATATAAAACTTACCTAGTACGTATAATTTATAGTAATCCTTTAAATGTTTAACTAAGGGGTTAACTATGGTTATTTACTTTAATTTGGGTAGTACACGATTTTACCCCAATACACAGAGAGAGCGGGTATTCTCGAAACTTGAATTTTATGGAGAGGAGAAAAATGGTGGAAAAAGAACCAAAGGTTATAGCAGAGGAGATAAGGAGGGATCGAGAAGAAGTACTGGTGTCTCTCATTGAACAGCGTACTAAGGATGTTGAAAATCTTCGCAAACGCATCTCTTATTACACTTCTCAGGTTGTCTTCTTTGGGACCCTACAAAGCTTTCATTAAATGTCTTTTTAAACTTTAATGGCTGAAATTGTAAAGTCTTAAAGTTGTCAACTTCGTTTATTGTTGGAAGGGGACCGGGATAGGTGCGGGAAGGTCTTTAATTTTCCCCCCCTTTTTTGTTTGAATAATGAAAACCACTGTTGATCCCTAGGAGTTTTGCGGTTAACATTTATTAATAATATTAACCGAATGTAAAGAAAGCTGCTATCTTTTCAGAAGCCTATTGATACCTTCCTTCGTGGGTTTGGATCTCCAAACTCGAAAATCAAGCTTTGTCCCGAAAGCCTTCAAATTTCTTTTTCTTTGATGCTTTTTAAGAATAATTAACCTCAATGTCTATGTATTTTAGGGGCTTCCCAGTTTTGTGTGTGCGCGTGTATATATGTATGTACATGTATAAAAGATGTCTACCCTACTATAACATTCTTGAACAAGTGAATTCTTCCCATTTGCCTAAGTCTTGGTGGGTAGAATTCACCCAATTCATGTCCTAGTGGGAATTAGATGGAATACTCGGTACGGGCGGAGCAACAGTGTTGCTTGCGGGTTTGGCCGAAACTAGTAGCTTTTGTTCAAACCTTGTATTTGTATTAAGAAATCTAAGTAACATGTACAAATTATTAATTTAGAACTCAGTAAACTAAAAAGATTATAATCCGAACACATAAGGTTCAAATTCTAGCTCCGCCTCTCATACTCGGACACCACCAGTCATAAAAAAACATTTTAAATAAAATCTTAGTCTTAATGGAGAGGATCCTCCCCATGAGGTTCGGGGTTCAAGTCAACAAGGGGAAAAATGAGTAAAAGCTACTGTTGGCCCATAGGTGTTTTTGGATTTGCTACCATAAAATCGTGGTCACCTTAATGAGGATTTGCTTTTAAGAAAACCTGGAATATATGCTTCAGCAGGAATGACACAATTTGCTGGTATGGACTATTAGAGTTGTGAAGTAGATGTGGATTCGAAACCACACTAGGATTTTCAGTCCATTGACTTGATCCACTTTGAAATAAGTATCCTTTCTTTATGTCATTTGGGCTGCCCTGACATTCTAAGGATGACTGAAGCCTCTCTTGAAAGGCCTCCTGACTTGATCTTCTTCTTTATATACACAATTTGATGTATGAAATTGGAAGAAGTACTGCTTCTTTAAAGAGTGAACCAGGTTCAGGATTCAGACTAGTACTTTTTTTTTTTAATTATGCAGTTAGCTGTATTCTCGACTTGAGGGCGGGAACCGCCTTATCTTAGGGTGTATGCGTAGCCCCAAATTGGAGGGGGTGTTCATTTTTTGATAATCAATAAGTAGCATAGCTTCGATAGACTTGCAAGTCTTACCATCAATCTTGGTGACATCTGTGCAATGCAGCTATATCTGGATCGACCAAAGTCAGACCACTTCTGTCAAGGACCAATATAGTCGGAAAAAAGCTAATTGCCGTATTTTTTATGGGTTTTTTCCTTCTTTTCCTTTTTGGGATTAATTTTACATGTTTGTAGTTCATTGTCTCTCTCTCAATAACAAGTGGTCTAGTGAAGATAGGTGCCTTGAGGAACCTAAAAACTCTACTATACTTTCTCCTTTCTCCCTTCTCCCAGACCATAAGGATTTTGAGTTCAATTGAGATCAAATTCAGTGGTTGCAAGAGTCTCCATTGATGATTCTGTAATGGTCTTCTCATTGTTCAAATAGATGACATGGAGATATTATCATGTGGCTTAATGCAAGTTTTATTCAAATTATGACATTCCAGGGTCTTCAATTGGAATATGAGCTGGCTGTTCAGCTGTTTACGTTTCTAATGCTTCTACAGAAGCTTTATACATGAATGTCAATTGTATATCTTGTTCTTTCTTCCCATTCTTGAAATTTGCAAGTTTTCTCTATGCCAAGGATACTCCATATATTTCTGATTCCCTGGCAAAAGGAGGATACTTGAATGTCCAATTTTATGAGTGATAAGCTTCAAATCTTTGCTTGTGGCAACAGATCCAACTTTGAGTTAAACTTAGTGTAGTGCAACAGAATCCCTTTGTCTTAAAAATTATATATCTATTAAATTCCATAGGGATGATTGTGTATCTATCAAGTTTCATGCTCATCTGTGAACTTAACCTGCAATCATTTTACTCACAAAGGGATGGCTGTTGAATGTTGGCTATTACCTGGCGGATGATTTATTATCTAATTTAATATGTAATTGAAATAATGTTCATTTTACTTCGGAGTCTTTCTCTTACTTTGGGACCATAACTAATATTTTCCATTTTCCCCCTTCTTTGGAATGAGATATACAGCTTGATCAAGCAGAGAGGAATTTAGAGGAGTCACAACAGAAACTTGCTGGTCTCCGGGCCCAGGTCAATGTGGCAATATCCACAAGCTCTCATGGGAATGACTTGGATCCGGTGAAAGCTAAAATAAGATCCGTCAGTCCTATTCAGATAAGTGATGATTCTTCTGAAAGCCTCTCTGAGTGTAAGCCTCAACCTGACAAAGACATCACAGCTAGAAAATCTTCAGCACTTGATAAAAAAATAGCAAGCCCTTTTCAGGAAAACAATGATAATTCCGCGAAGCCGCCCACGGCTAAACCATTACTTATCATTCCTGACGTGAGACCAAAGGTTTCTCAGCCTTTGAAGATGGTAGAACCTAGTCCTGTCCCATGTGGATCTGATCCTTGTGCTGGAGGATCAGGTTTTAATTTTCGTAACACTCGCATTGCAAGGTCAAAAGCAGATAATATTGTGGAAATCCCTCCTGATGTTGTAGCTGCTGAGATTCAACCTAAAGGAACAAAAAGGAAGTTTGGTAGTAATTTATTCGTTAGCTTTGATCTTTCAATACTAGTATGTGTAACATGCACTCTGATATAATATGCAAATGTTTTTTTTTCATATGAAAATTATGATTTGACGAGCTTGTTTCTCATGTTCTCTTTGTGGGTATAGAACAGAAAGAGCGTAAAGAGTTGATTCCATTGATAGGTAGCTCCTCTTCAGCAAGCAAGATCCATTGCCAGACGTGCAATTTCATACCTAGTCAACACAAGCGAAAGATGAGAACTATTGTCTTGTGCCCTACGAATGATCAACTTTTTGCGAGCAGGTAGATACACGCTCTGTGTGAACGACAATTGTGATTGTGTATTTCATTCGGTGCTTCTAGATTTATAGATGAATTATGGGTGGACTAACTGTAGAAATTGCTTGCCCCTTTCCCTTCTACAGTTAGTCATGTATATCATGGCTCCACCAACTTCATCATGTATGTCATGACTTTAATCTAGTTTAGAGATCCTACACTAACGCCACATGATTGGATCTTGTGGACGATCTGAAGATGTTCGTACCCGAGCAAAATTCGAGTTCCTAAATTGCACACTGCAATTGGTCATATTAGATGATAATTAGTTAATTTGCCTAAGTAATGATTTGAAAGTTGTTTCCTTCAGTGTTATTAAAAGCCATGGCTTTGTCGCTTAAAGTGATACGAAGCGAAGAGCTATTGCTTCATGGGTGAAACCAAGTGCTTCATAGAATGTGTGCTTCAAACAATGACAGCAAAGTAATCTGGATGGGAAGCGGTCGGTTTTCTGAATCTCAACTTGGAGGAGCTGGATTAATGTTGGCATTATTGTATATAGGATACTAAAATTAGTTATTTCAAATTGCAATTTGATCATTGTGGTACTAAATTCATTTGTGTTTGGTATTTTTTTAACGCTTAACTTCAAAGAAGCATGTAACGTCGCTTCTCGCTTTTTGCTTAAACTAACCTCATGGACCTTGTTGTTTTTTTCTGCTTTTCGCTTTTAAAACACTGGTTTCCCTGATATAATGCTGCACTGTACTTGCTTCTTTTGAGAACGACCTGGTACTCATGTTTCTCAGTCTTTCTCATACAGTTTTCAACCTTTCAGCATCGAATGAAATAAATCAGTCTCGAATTCTTTCTATTTGCTTAGAAAGGCTAACTCAGAGTTGCTTAACATGCAGTGCTCTGGATGGCGTTGTCAACTTGTGGCAGGTGCAGGACATGGGGTATGTCAAAACTTTAGCATTCCATTTCCAGAGCTGCATCTGTATCATTTTCCTTTGCGAGACCCACTTTATAGGCAATAACTTCAGATTTCAATTGTTTTTCCCTCGCATCACCAAATGCTTGTATTTTGATGGTCTGTCACTTTGGTAATCAGGTCAAGTGCCAATCTTGTCAGTAGCACAGATTGCATTTCGCGCGAGGGTAGAAGATGGCCAGAAGATGTAGCATGGCATCCGAAAGGCACTAGTCTCTTTTCTGTGTACAGCGCTGATGGTGGGGATTCACAAATTTCAATCTTGAATCTTAACAAAGGAAAAGAGGTATTTTTAGGAAATTTCTTGATGCAATTATATGACAAAGACCATTTCACTGTAAAATCTGCAAAACTGAAGAAACATGCGTGCATGGTTTGATTTTTAGGCTGACCTGTTTGGTCTTATGATGGACGAGGTTTGTAGCAGGAATACGGGGTAAATCACGGTCTAAAATTTTAGGAAAAAACTGTGGAGTATACGGTTCAGGGATCTATGCCTTTCTCTCTTTCTCATGATTTTGCTATAAAACATTTTTTAAAGAGTCAGAGGCAGCAGCGTGGTTTTATTTTTAGACTGTAGTCATAAAGTAAACATCCAAAAGGAATGTAACATGTCTTTTGTCAAGTATTCAAGGGATGTAACATGTCTTTTGTCAAGTATTCAAGTACATAAAAAAACTCTGAATTCTCCTCCCTCCACGGAAGATAAAAAACCCATGGAACCCCATCAGGTAAACCTGATATCATATGCCGCTCCTCCAGCCTAAACTAAAGTCTATGATTTATAGGTGCATTGTTGTTCTTGTCTCTGTCATTATCACAATTAACATACATTCTATTGGCGCTTGGTTATGTAGCACTTGATAGTATGTCTTGCATACTCTATTGTGTCAAAGGACTCTCTTGGATTTTTTCTCTGCTCTGATCTCATATCCTGGTACATTAACAGAATACGCGAGTAAATTTCTTGGAGGAGAAGCCTCATGTCAAAGGAATCATTAACAGCATAATGTTCATGCCATGGGAAGAGGACTGTTTTGTTACTGGTGGTAATGATCACGCAGTTGTCTTGTGGACCAATAAAGTTGGAGAAAATTCATGGAAGCCTAAAGTGTTGCCTAAAGAGCATTCTTCTGCTGTAATGGGAGTTGCCGGTTTGCAGCATAAGAAAGTTGTGATGTCTGCTGGTGCCGATAAACGTATATTAGGATTTGATTTACCAGCTCAGAGAGTAGAATACAAACATCAACTAGAAAGCAAATGCATGAGTGTCCTCCCTAATCCACATGACTTGAATCTTTTTATGGTTCAGACAGGGTAAGTTACCATCTTCAACATTCTATGATCATTACGTGCATATGTCTTTGTTCCATTATGTGCATATTTCATTATGTAGATATTTCTTTTACATTAGTAATAATTTTTCTTGCTATTTCCCATTCCCTTTTCCTCTAAAGCACCCAATGTGTTGTAATTTTTTGGTATTTTCACCCCTTTCTTTCTTTCTTTCTTTGTCAAAATGTGCTATGTGCAATAATGTTTGAGTAAAATGGATTTCTACTATATTGTTTTTGATACATTTAGATTTATATGATAATATTTCGGTTTTTCTTTGGTAATGCATCGCAAAATGATGTGTTCTGCTTTAATTATGTTTAAGAACTATTATACCTGTGAGGAAGAAGAAGAAGAAGAAGAGGAGCCACCTGAACAATGTAGAATCTAGAATTTGAAATGGATCCATAAAATTTGTTTCTGGAATCCTATGAAGTCATTCCTCCTAAAGGAAGAGATCTGGGGTTCATTTAAAAAGTATTTTGATAATTTTCTTTTACTAACATTATTGTGGTACCTAAATGTGAACAATTCAATATCTAGACTTAGTGTTCAGGAGAATAGCATGCTAGAAGAATATATTAACACATACTTAAAATATGACTAAATTGGAGTGCTGCTACAGGATCTTGACTAATTGGAAGATAACTACTAGAGTGAAAGCCTTAAAGGCGAGTTTTATAGAGCGGTTGTGAGACGAGTAATGTTTATATCTGGAGGAGTGTTGGACCTATAATGACCCAACATATTCACAAAATGAGTGTTCCGAAAATGCGGATTTTAAAATGGAGGGGTATTCATACGAAATTTGACAAGATCACAATTTACCACATTTGATAGAAGGTACAAATAACACACATAGAGGATAAAATAAGTGAAGGTCCCTTGAAATTGCTTTTGGCTATATCGACTTTCAGATACACTAGTCCATATGACACTATGATGATCAGAGGTCGTAAAAGATGATGCAGGAAAGAGCTACAGTCTCTTAGACTCTATGCAAATTTTGCTAAGGATAAAAATGATGGAAGTGAAAGATCCTCATAACGATACCATCTAATTGGGAATAGGGTTTATTTTTACTGGTACACTTACGTTCTGTCAGGTGTTGGAAGGAATTTGTATTAATATTGGTATTATAGTAGAAAATGTAGAGATATTCTTATATTACAAAAGTAGGAGACCCCTACTCTTAAAGAATTTAAGTTATGGAATAAAACGGGTCCAAATTGAGCGAAATGGATATTGAGGATTCACATAGCCAACCTCAAGTAGTATGGGATTGGCGCTTAGTTGTTGCAGTGTAAAGCCTGTTTTATATCTTGAACTATTTTCTTATGATGTCACAAGTCTGATTTGAATTATTATCTTAAAGTAGATACGATTGAAGCAGGAATATGTTAATTAGGCTGATATATTTTTGTTGTGCTTTTACTGATCCAATGACTGCATCTTCACATGCAGGACCTTAGAGAAACAGCTTCGCTTGTTTGATTTTAGGTCGAGGCAAGCCGAGATTCATTCCTTTGGGTGGAAACAAGAAAGCAGTGACTCGCACTCGGCTCTTATAAATCAGGCTTGGTCACCCGATGGTTTGTCCATTTCATCTGGCTCTGTTGATCCTGACATTCACATATTTGATATACGGTACAATTCTCACAAACCTTCCCAGTCCATTAGAGCTCATCATAAGCGAGTCTTCAAAGCTGTTTGGCACCACACTCTCCCGCTCCTCATTTCTATATCTTCTGATTTGAACATTGGATTGCACAGAATTTTATGAGGTGCTTCCTTTTCTTTTTAGCCCTTATTGTCCCCAGACCCCATTCATTTTGGAAATCATTACCGCGAAGCCATATTGAGCCCTTAGATCAAAGAAATTCATTGCGTGGGTTTGATACAGCAGGCGATTTGAAAAGAAAATGTTAAGGAGTGTCATCTTTTCCTGTGCCTTGTTCTGCATTCAAGCTGTTAAGTTCAGAAGCATTTCACCTCTTTGTTAGCTCATAGGGAGAAGTTTTATTTTGTGTCTATACAACTGACACTAGTTGTATGAGGCTTCTTTTTGTCTCACAAAATTGTGGACACCAATCTTACACTGCTGGGTCCATAGAATTCTGGGTCCACAAAACTGTGAGACAAAAAGTTGCCTCATACAACTAGCGTAAGTTGTATGAGACACAAAATAAAATTTTTCGCTCATAGGTCTGTCAATTAATTGACTGCTATAGCCTATAGGCACTCCCGGGGGTGGGGTGATGTAGAGTTTGGAGAGTTGAAATGACAATCTTGACAACCAAGTACCACATTAAAATCCAGTAGAAACAGACACTAAATGAGTTGTTATTGTCTGTCTAATCTTAAGTAGGTAGAGTTACCCAATATATATGTGGGAGATAGGAGATATTTACGTGAATGAGATGAATACATGTTGTCCAGGACATAACCGTTATAAAAAAACAAAAATGACTGTTGAAAGTTGTCTAATGTAATGGACATGTCGCCAGCATTCCGTCCTTGTTTTAGACATATCCTTTAGTGGTTGACCTCTTGACCGTTGACCACTAACTTGACTTTGATATACCAACTTAGAGGTATTAAAATGTGTGCATCAAAGTTAGTGTATGATAAGTATGTGTGAATACTGTGACAGACTATTTGCATGTTTTGGTGCATAAATGAGATTGGTTAAATCAAGAAAAAAGTTTTGAGTAGTAAGTCGTCGTTGAAGACTTCAAGTAGTGTTTTTCTATTGTTGTGGCGTGGGCAAAATATACTTTCCATTTGCACTCGATGAACGAAAGTATGAATGAATTTTCATAAAGGGGTCTACACCTAATCATGCTCTAAAAAGTTTGCCAGACGTATAGATCACATTATCAATTGGAGGCCTTGCCTTTTTGGTTGCTTTCTTTTAAAGAAATACTATATTGATGGAGGATGATTGTGTTGTCTTTTTATTTAATGACCTATGCAAGTAAAAATGGTTTAAATAAGGTGCACCCAAAGGGTGTGGCCTACACTATATGGTTTTTTTTCTATCTGCCTAGTGATCCATGAGACGAGAGCAGAATTATGAGGGAGAAATTCAAATATAGCCAGATTTACAAGTGGTCGTTCAAAAAAAGTTCAGTTTCAAAAGTAATCGAAAATTAGCCACTTTTCATGTAAAGATAAATCTGAGCGAAAACATTGTTCAAAATCCTGAAAATACGCCAGTATATTATGCTGGAGTTCCAGCATAAGTATACTTGAACTCCAGCATATTATACTGGAGTTCCAGGATAAGTATGCTGGAACTCTAGCATAATATGATGGAGTTCCAGCATAAGTAACTCTAGCATAATATGATGGAGTTCCAGCATAAGTACACTAGAATTCCGGCATAATATACTGGAGTTCCAGCAAAGTATACTGGTCCAGTATAATATGCTGGAAGTTCATACACAAGTGCTCGAATCTCCAGTATATTATATTGGAACTTTCCGTGTGTTGGAGTTCCAGCATAATATGCTGGAAGTTCATACACAGGTGCAATGAACTCCAGTATATTATGCTGGACCGATTTCTGTTGCAGCAAAATAATGGCTATTTTTCATTGACTTGGTACACGCTGACTATATTTGAATGACCAGTCCGAAAACTGGCTAGACCGTGCTATTTTTACAGAAATTAAAAAATTGCTAGATTTACAAGTGGTCATTCAAAAATTGCCACAGTTTCAAAAGTAATTAAAATTTAGCCACTTTTCATGTAAAGATAAATTTGAACGAAAACATTGTTCAAAATCCGAAAAATACTCTAGCATAATATAATGGAGTTCCAGCATAAGTATACTGGAACTCCAGCATATTATAATGGAGTTCCAGCATAAGTATATTGGAACTCCAGTACAATATACCGGAGTTCCAGTATAATATACCGGTCCAGTATAATATGCTAGAAGTTCATACATAGGTGCTCCAATCTCCAGTATATTATGCTGGAACTTTTCGCGTGTTGGAGTTCCAGCATAATAGCTAGAAGTTCATACACAGGTGCACCGATCTCTAGTATATTATGCTGGACCGGTCCCTGTTGCAGCAAAATAGTGGCTATTTTACAATGACTTTGCAAACGCTGGCGATTTTTGAACGACCAGTCCGAAAACTGGCTAGCCCGTGCTATTTTAACGAATTATGAGGTCTTATTTTTAAATTTTGGTCGACTACAAAAATGCTATGCAATTTTTTTTCTGTCTAAGTCTTAGTTGATAGAGATATGCATGTGGGCACGAGCAGTGGCGTAGCCACCCTACGTCAAGGGTGGTCAAACGCACATCTTTCGCCGAAAAATTATACTGTGTATATAAGTTAAATACTACTATGTTATATGATTACATTGAACAACCTTAACACAAGGCAGTCCGCTCAGGGTGTTAAAAGTGACGTGTTGTATCACGAGTTCAAAGTTCTCAGCCCATTTTATTTGCCAAAACTAAACCACCATGTGTGGTATATTTGATTCTTTTGCAATCTAAAAATTTTCTAATAAAATAACAAAATTTGTGTAGAGATAAATACTAATCTTAAAAGTAATATTTCAACTAAAAGTCTTCTTAAATTAAATTTTATAATTTAAAAGTCAAGTTCTGGTATACTATTCATCGACAAAAAAAAATATTTATCACTTTTTTAAAGTTTGAAGACCCTTAGCGGAATTTTTGACTATGCCATTGGACTCAAGCTGACCAAACAGCATCCGGAAAGAAATGGTAGTAAATCAGCCGGGGAGTGCATGGACAGCATTTTCAACTAATGGTCGCAAACCTTTCAAAAACAATCTTCTTTCGTTGGTTCTTTCTAACATTGTTACAATTAAATTATAGAAAAAGGTGACAGAGAGACAGAGAAGTCTTCCAATTTCAATAATAACATGCAACAAAGTGGAGTTGCTAAGAAATGATGCTTCATAAAAGCTTTACAATGCTTACATGTAAATCCACATGGGTTTAATTTCTAAAGTAATACGATAATTATCAGCATGTAGGGTCAGCTAGCGCTAGACATTTTGATTTATGCATGCAGATATAATTCTTTATGTCGTATCAAACGTGTAAATACCATATGAATTATTGGATTAAAAAATGATACAATAATATTAATAAGACACGACATGTGACTGAAATTTTACTAAGTATAATTTAGTAAAAGCACAGTGTAAATGACCACCGGATTTCTATCCCGTAAGCTACATTTATCTGTCCAAATAGAAGCTTTTAATTTTACACCCACTCCCCCTCTCTCACCTTACCCCCATTTTCCTTTAAAGAGACACCTAATCCAACAAACTAATGAACGATAGTTTAAAATTGAAGTGGCCTTAAGGATTATAATATAAATTATTATCTATGTGAGTTTCATTGGTTATTTTTATTTGTAAATATCATTGATGCACATCAAAGAATGTGGGGCCTCGGGTTTGAGCCCGGGTATAAAAAAATCCTTGGTAGGGAGCGCTTTCCGCCGAATGAGGTCTACGCGGCGTGAATCCGAATATAGTCGGGTTCCAATGCGGATACCGGATATCGGGTGAGAAACCAAAAAAAAATATTGCAAGTATTAGTAAATATAACTTCTTTGGGAAAAGAAAATTTGAGTTATCGACTACTATCTTAGTTTAAGTAGCCTGTTTGCTAACACTTCATACTATGTACTAGCTCTTCTGTAGCACACTTATTTGCATGTCCATTTTTTGACAGTGAAAATCCCCCGTCAACTATTAACAATGACCAGAAATGAACAAGTCGTAGAAGAAAATGTCTTTTTTTTTTTTTTTAAATTGTTGAGTGAGATATTGATATGCTCATGTATGAGTGCACGTTCATTATTTGGAAGACCTAAAGAATTATTATTATTATAAATTCAGAAAGAACTTTTAGTTTATTTTAGGTTAACGAAGAATAGGTGAGTTATGAAATACCCCATGTGTGCTATTTTATGTGGCACAACTTTTTATTTTATGTGGCATAATTTTTTTTTTTAGTTGTCCGAAACATGATAATACTTTTTATATTTTAAAAATTATTTAGTTATAAATTTCTCATTTTATCCTTGATGGAATGATTTATTGTCACACAAATGTGATATGTTTTAGACTACAAATTTTAATTTTTTTCTTTTTTAAATTTCATACCTAGTCAAAGTAATACCACATAAATTGGATGGTGGAAGTATCTACTTCTCTTTAGATTTTCACGAATGCATGGCAAATTTATTTGATCTACTTTGATTATTTGGTTCTCTTAATGATTATTCATTCAGTTTATTTATTTATTTATTTATTTATTTTTCTTTGAATTTTCGGTTTCCAAGTTGAAAGTGCACCTAATAGTCATTCTTTAATTTGAAAGAAAAAAAAAAACGCGCTTTTTGTTTAACAGATACGACTAACGCGGCAGTGGGTGGCCCACAATGTTCTGGCTTAGTTTCTGCCAAAATCCATACCTCAACGTACGTTAAAGTATATATACACAGAATGTACGTTTGTGAATCTATAAATTTGTGAATACATATATACAGAGAGGAGAGAGAATAGATAATTGAATTTGGACATTTTTGAAAGTTGGAGAAGAGGCGGCGGCGATGGGAAATTGCTGCTCCGACGTGGCCGGCGGACAATCGGCGGTCGGCGGTACCGGAATAAATCAGAACGATCCAGCTTACTCTCCTAACGAGGCCGTCGATGCCTTCCTTAAGTCTCGCGGTTACCAAGGCCTCTACTCTCAGATCGAGGCACTTCACTCTCACTCTGTTTACTTTGATTTTCACTCAACGTTATTAGCTTATACGCACATATATCAATTTTCTCTATGTTCTGCTAAACGACTGTGACTCTGAGGACTTAGTTTGTCGTTTCGTTACCAATTGTGGTTGAATTAAGATACTACAAGTTGAATTGGCATTGACCGTTCGAGAAACTGACTTGTTCTGCGATTAGGAATAACTAGCTTGATTATATGTCTCTCTGAATTTTCATTGGTAATTGAGGTAGATATGGACTTGTTACATCAGAATTCCTACTATAATGACTAGCTTGTTTATTTGTTGTTACTAAAGTTTAGGGTGTAGATATCATAGATAAAGGCTTCCAACTGCAAATGTGAGCATTCTGAAATACTAGCTTTATCCTTCACAAGATCATGATCAAAATTAAATATGTTTGGCTCCAACCAAACAGAAAGGCTAGAAGTTCCGAGTAAATGGGTAGCGCGAATATAGTTATTCATTTAAATCTAAAAGATTATACTTTCGAGCTTGAGGTTTCTCCAAGCGATTATTGAATTCCTTTCTTATTCTAGAACTGGATTGTTTGTACCTCTTCATATTGTACAGCTGGTTGTTTTTTATTTTTCGTTTTTGTTAGTTAAGAACCTAAGAGTAGTCATTGACTTGGAGGACGGCCCGATGTAATTGGAATTTGACAAGTGCTGTGATTACTTAATTACACTTCTCTTGATTACCTAATGTCCTATAATGTCATCTGAAGAAGGGAGCCAAACTGCTAGATGTTTAAATTGATGACGAAGTCCATTTTTTCATGTTTTATACGATGTAAATATAGCGGTGCAGTTATTTGTGAACCAAGCTACTTCATCACCAGTCCATTATTGTAGGAGCTTTGAATTGACTGTTCCACTATGCAACATCATATTGCAGTTCTTCGCTATTCGATTTCTATAATTGCGCTCATCATTTTCAATGTTTGAGCTTTCTCATATTTATTTATTTATTTATTTATGCACTTGCAGTTGTCTCTATCTGCTACCAGCTTGCGCGATCGTGATATGCTTTCCAAGGTTTGTTGCTTATTTGGTGCGCGTTAGATAATGTAAATGACAATGCTGACTTTCATGTGCCGTGATTTATAGTAGCATTGGGTTATTCTTAGATAGAGTGTCATCTTTTTTAGTTTTGACTATCATTGTTGCTTCTTGCTTTTTTATATTCCTGTTGAATATGAATTGTTTTATCTCCGTAATATGACTACAAATTTGAATCTTTGCCTAGGTGTTTTCTTGTTTTAATTTTTTCCATCCTGTATGAAGGTGAAATTCCACTTTCGGGGATAATACTTACTCGAACACTCCATAATATCATTTATTTGACCTTACATTTTTCACTCTCAAAAGCTAGCTTCTAAAGACAACCCTGGTAAACTGAAAGGTTAATGGAACTATACTCGAGAAACTGTGGTACCAAACATTGAGGTTATTTTTCATGTAATACAACTACTGCCTGCTTACGTGTTTCCATTTTTGTCTTCGATTTACTTTGTATGGCTAGCTTTTAAAATATGGCTTGCGGGAAAAGCCCATACTTGGTGCACCATATTTCTGGGTAGAATGTTATCAGCAGTCCTGTACCAGCTAGAACTTATTGACTTCTGTGAGGTTTATGCTCTGAGCTCAGTTGGAATCCGTATAGTCTAGTAGTGTTTTGCTATGAATAGCAGCCTAGTGTTGATAGAGAGCTTACCGCCCCCATGTACAAAGAGTTCTTCTTTGTGGCAAAGAAGCATGCTTACCCAACCTATAACATAAAGGCGTCATAGACGCGCCTAAACTAATTTAAGAGTAAGGGCTTGTACTCTCTCTTATGCGGATACGCTATCCCTTCCGGTTATGATATGGGAAAGGGAGGTGAAATCTACTCATTGATCTTTGATGTTTGATTGGCTATGTTGTATTTGAGATACTGTGCTTAGTACTTCTATAACAAAAGAACTAGTTTTTGCTTTCCAACTATCTAAGAAGTACTCTCCAATTCTCATTATGGCTATTTTTGGACTTCGGTATTTTATTTAGTTTATGAGTTACCTAATTGTCTTTTATCCCATTGTTTTTGATAAATGGTATTGTTTTTGTTGTATTGATTTTTCCTTGTCAATATGGGATGCCTTCTATCTTCAAGCATCATAGTCTGTTTTCTAAAATAAATATGTTATTACTTAACTGAGAATTTATTTTATTTATTTTTTACAGAGTGACCCTATGGCAGTCCTTTATTCAAAAGAAAAAGATGGTTCATTGAAAGAGCTTAGCCGTACAGAAGTAGTTTTGAACTCATTGAACCCGAAGTGGATTACAAAATATACAATTGCTTATTATTTTGAGACAGTGCAGAATTTGGTGTGAGTCCTGATACTACACTTACTGGTTCTATTGAGTTTTTCCATCTCACAATCTTTGCCTTTATTTCAGGTTTCGTGTGTACGATGTTGACACTCAATTTCACAATCAAGATGTCAAGGTATATATGTGCTCATTTTAAAATTTCTGATAATGATAATTACAGTTTCTACTTGTCCCCAGAGGCATTCGTATCAGATTAACCTGTAATTTTGAATATAAACTCCGCTATGTAAGTTTTAATATGAACCCTGAGCTGATTATACGGAGAAGACTTAAAAAAGAGTGATTGAATCAACCTGCTGCTTTAGTAATTTGAACTGTGTAACTATTGTTTTATACTGTCATAATCCCTACTGTTATGTTGTTTGTACTAGCTTATGTGCTTGATCTCGAAATCAACATGTCACTTATGTGGTAAAAGAGCTGCATATATTTTGCGAACTAACAACACTTCAATGGCTTACCCGATTGAAGCATAAAACAACAGTTTGTATTTGCACCGTGCAAGAAGTAATACCGATTGTAATCACTACAGCTTATTGCAGCATTGGCATGTTAGTTTCACTTTTTAGGAAAGGGTTCTAGGCTTTCAAGCAAATTCTGTATATGTTGCTGTACCAGATGGAACCTTCTAATTCGCTTCCTTTACACAATATATCTCAAGTTATGTGATGTCACTTTTCATCTGTATCGTCTTTTAACGGGACAATTCCATTCTTTGGACATCTCAGGCAACATGTGAAAAGCATTCCCTACATTCTTGTATATTGAAGGGAGTTTTTCTTTTTGAGATCCTTGCAGATGCTTGGTCTCAGAAGTAGTTCTACATATGGTGTTTTTTGGGAGCTAGCTGTCTGCAGTGACGGTTACATTTCAAATTGAGTAATCTTGCTTCACCTGAACCTTGAATTAGATCAATAGTTAAAAAAGAAAGTAGATCAATAGTAAGATAGATACGTACAACTACCATATTTCTGGCTTCATTATCGCTTGATCTACTACATGCTCATCTAGGAAAAGGGTTTGGTGTGTGTGTGTGTGTGTGGGGTGGGGTGGGGTGGGGTAGTTTAACATCGTATACTTGAGTACCCACCGTATGCTTTGAATTTGCTTTTGTTTGCTTATTATGGACAATGAATAATCCATTTTTTCTTTTTAAATGCTATTAGAGAGTACAAGATACAATCATCTGTTATATGTGTGAAAAAATATTAGAGGATACAAGGTATATAATCATGTTCTTTTGAATGCTCATTCAAGTGCTTTCACAGCAAAAATCTTATGAAATCATGGAAGCTTGTATAATTATTGCAGATGCTTAAACTGGAAGAGCAGGACTTTCTTGGTGAGGCCAGTTGCACATTGGCCCAGGTGTGCATCCCTTTTTTAATCATTAACATTTGTTCCCAAAATTATTATATCACCATAGCTTTCTGGCAATGGTAGAAGTGAAATTGCATGATTTACCATCAAGGCTATTATTAGCATGCTAACTGAAGAGTAAGGAGAAGACATATCTCACCTTGAGGCTCTTCTACTAATTATTTGTATAGTACTTGGTTATGGACATGCATTCCGTTGTTTGGTTGAGACGCGAAATAGATTGTTCATAGTTTAATTTGCCTGTAAGTACTTTAAAAAAAAACTGTTTTCTTAAAAAAAATTGTTTTGAAACTGCTGTAAGTACTTAGGAAAAAGAAAAATGTTGCTTCTATTCAGTATGGCTTTCCTGTTGGTCGGAGCTACAGTATTATGGATCTGCTTTTCTGGTTATACCATTTTGCTTTATTTTCAAGAGTTTATGAATTTTCTGCCAGATAATGGTTACAAGCCCTGAACCATTTCAATTATTGCATCTCTGTGTAATATTCTTGCTTACAACTATTTCTTCCACAATTTAGGATCAAATTCTGGTATTGTCCATTTTAATAATGTAGTTGTACATATGAGGTTATTTTGTTTATTAAACCAATGGATGTTAAACATATTTCCGTATAGATTGTCACAAAGTCGGGCAGGTCCCTGACCTTGGACCTTGTATGTGGCGAACAATCTTCTGGTCAAACACATGCTCGAAAGTTAGGCAAGCTTACTGTTTTAGCTGAAGAAAGTGTCAGCTCGAAGACTACTATTGAGTTGAGATTAAGATGTTCAGAATTGGAATCAAAGGATTTGTTCTCAAAAAGTGTACGAAACTCATCAGAGTAGTTTTATCTTTTCTCAGTATGAAACGTATGTTGCTGATAACTCTTCTGCTTTTGGCAGGATCCATTTCTGGTGGTCTCAAAAGCTACAGAAAGTGGAATAGTGGTTCCAATTTGCAAAACAGAAGTGATAAAAAATGATCATTCACCCATCTGGAAATCGATGTTCCTGAATATCCAACAAATTGGAAGTAAGGTACAATACAATTCTCTTTCGAGTGATCTATTATGCATTTTCTTAAGAACGTGTTGTGTTACTTGGGAAAATCCCCTACAAATAGAACCCTGAAAAGGAGGAAATGATATCCTTCAAAAGCAATTTTCTTTTTCCATGAGACTATATGCTGTTCCAAGCAATCAATATATGTTGAGCTAGATGCACTTTTTTCCCTAAAACTTTTTTGGGCAAGCTCTGAAATGGCTAATATTTTCCATACGAATTATGATGAAACTCCCAGTGCTCACTTTTCACAGATCTTTGCTCCCTGATGAGTAGATTTCACCATCTATTTCTCTAGTACTTTAAATTAGCTGTCTTTTTGGACTCTGTAATTGAAGTACTCCAATTGATGGGATTCAGCAGATATCTATGGAGTCAAGCTCTTGTGCAATAACAAACTTTACTCATCAAAGTAGTTAATGGTTTTGACTTTGAGCCTGCACTTTAAGAATTCACTCATTTTAAGGGATGTGATTGGTAATATACTTCTCCTCTGAGGAAATTACCATCTACTTTGTGCTGACAGTATGTTGCATAATCGAAAGAGATATCACTTCTGCACAATATTTATTCTTTGATTTTCAGTTTAGAAACATTTGAATTAATGCAGGACAGCCCATTAACTATCGAGTGTTATGACTTCAATAGCAACGGCAAGCATAGTTTACTTGGGTAAATGAGCTTCTTTTCTTCTCTTCATCATTTCTGACCTCTACTGACTGGAAGCTGACAGTGTTTCTCCTGATTGTCAGAAAGATTCACAAGTCACTGTCAGATTTAGAAAAGTTACATTCTGCTGGTATTGGTGCAAATCTTTTTATACCAGCTGCTCTGGGACCTAATCAACAAAACAAGGTAAGAACTTATTAATCAGGTAAACAATACTGCTATTGCAACTTATTTAATTAGCAGTCACTGGATTTTTATCCAGGTTCTGAAGAGTCAGCTTTTTGTGGAAAGCTATTCTGAGAAAATCCAGTATACATTCCTTGATTACTTAGCATGGGGCTATGAACTCAACTTCATGGTGGCCATTGATTTCACTGGTATGTGGTTGCGTAATAATACATATATTTTCATGTTTTCAAGTACCTATTTAATGTCTCCAAATACCAGATTCTCGTAAGTCTTCCTTTGTTTCCATAGCGATGCATGGAAATCTTAGTTGTCGTCTTCATCAGTGGCATGATTTATTTAGACAAACTCTGGGCGTCTTCCTCTTTTCTCATGTGCAGTGGGGGCTGGACTGATGCCTCCATTGACAACTCTTATTTGTTATTGTTGCAATGTTAGCTTAACTTAAAGATTTTATGGAATGTAAAAATCTTTGCAATCCCCCTCCCCATTTATGTCAGAATATCCATGGAGGGAATAACTAATAATTTTTAACAATTATGTAGATCCTGTTTGAGTTGTTGGTTGCATTCATCTTTTCTCAATAATCTTCTGCATTGAATTTACACATACAGCAAATTATTCATCAGAAAAATAAGTGCAACCAACAGGGTAGAGGGGAGGGTCCATACTCTCCGGAGTTCCAAACCTGTGGGCCAACTGGGCAGGGTGAGCTAACTCACATGGGATGTCTCTGTTATTGAAACAAAAAGCTTCTGTATGTTAGTGCTCGCATTCATGCTTAGCTTGCATCTGAGTCTGTAATCATTTCTTTTGTGAATTATTGTATGTCAGCTTCCAATGGAAATCCACGCCTCCCTGATTCATTGCATTATATCGACCCTTCAGGACGGCCAAATGCCTATCAGAGAGTAAGAATATAGTCTCAGTAATAATGATTTGATATGTTTCCTTCATATGATGTAAGTTATTTAATGAGCATATCAATTTCAGGCAATCTTGGATGTTGGAGAGGTGTTGCAGTATTATGATACAGATAAACGTTTTCCTGCTTGGGGTTTTGGAGCACGGCCAATTGATGGCCCAGTTTCTCATTGCTTCAACCTAAATGGTAGCAACAGTTACTGTGAGGTATTTCTAAGAGAGCGTTATATACTTTCAATTTTGTTATTGCTTTAGCTTTCTGTATTTTGTTTTGCTATTAATTTCAGCTGTTTTTTTCTTCCTTAAACTCTAGGTGGAAGGAATCCAGGGTATTATGATGGCATACATGAGTGCTCTTCATAATGTTTCACTTGCAGGTCCAACTTTATTCGGACCAGTGATAACTTCTGCTGCACATATAGCAAGTCAGTCTATGACGAACAATGAGCGGAAGTATTTCGTTTTGTTAATAATCACGGTACATTTCATTTTCTATGTTCTTTATCTTGTCTGGTTTCCTGATGAACATCTTTTTTTAGACCTTTCAAGTGAAATATTAACCATCATCTGCTATACCAATCAGAGTTTCAGTGAACCAATCCCTTCTCAATCATGTGTATATCTCTATAAATATACATCGTAAACTTCACCTGAATGCATAAAAATGCAGTAAAACCTCAAACTTGAATTTTTGTTACAATTCAAACTTTGTCTATCTTATTTTAGTTGGGTTTGATTTTATTAGAGACTTTTATAACTCAATGTCATATGTTCTCCAACCTTGATTATATTTTTGAAAATTTCCAGGATGGAGTGATAACAGATCTCCAAGAAACAATGGATGCTCTTGTTCAAGCTGCGGATTTGCCATTGTCAATTCTTATTGTTGGGGTTGGAGGAGCAGACTTCAAAGAAATGGAGGTATGCAAGTGCAACAACTTATTTCCTCAACAAGGAGTGGCTTTTGAGTTATCCAATTCAATTGACTGTGATGATTTCCCATGTGATCCGTTTTCACAGATATTAGATGCTGATAAAGGAGAGAGGCTAGAGTCTACAACTGGACGTGTTGCTGTGCGGGATATAGTACAATTTGTTCCTCTCCGAGATGTACAAAGTAGGTCATACTATACATTTCTCAGTTAAAGCTTCCTCATGTAGAAAAGGATAATCAAACGTGCTTAAGAGCTTGAGAGAATAATGCAGGTAGGTTTCTGCTGTATGATCTGACGCCTTTTCATTGATTTGCAGATGGAGATGTCTCAGTTGTTCAATCGCTTTTAGCAGAATTACCTTCCCAATTTTTGGAATTTATGCGGTTCAGAAAGATACAGCCGACTTTATGATCATATTATTATTGTACATATAGATGTTGATTCGCCTATTGCCCCGTGCTATTTGCCATTTTGGAGCTGGCTTCCCAAGACTAAGTTTTGCTTTTAGATTTCTGTTCATGTCTTCCTTCATGTTGCTCAGAAGATTTAGCTGATATTTTTCTTCAGCATCATTGAGCCGAGGGTCTATCGGAAACAGCCTCTCTATCTCCATGAGGTAGGGCTAAGGTTTGCGTTCACATTATCCTCCCCAGACCCCCAAGTGTGGGAATATACTGGGTATGTTGTTTCTTCAGCATCGTGTTGTAATTGATTTGTTGATTAAAAAAACCATGTCCATTGGCCATTGCCTTCTGTTCTGCAAATTCGAGTCTTGTTAGGAGTAAAGGGCGTCGTGATCACCTTCCAGTTGTGTGATGATTGATTACTTTGCAACAAGCTCCCAACAAGTAAAGGCAGTTGCCCCTGGCAAAATAACTGGCAGTTTTAAAGGCAGTTGGCAGAACCAAGGTAATCGAATAAGCCCGATGAATGAGGTGGTGTGACGCCGCCTCTGGCAGTACCAGAATCCGGCTTCAATTCGAGCTTCTTGTATGAAGTATGACCTTAGAAGTTCTTTTCCTTTGGTGTTGTGGGGTGGTAGTACTTTTAAATTATAATGAGATTATTCAGTGCATATTTTTTTTTGGATGATTAGCTTATTGGATAAAAAATGAGATATACAACACAATATAAACATGCATGTGGTTTTAAATTAGATAAATTTGGATAGACTTTACTTTCCAATTTTAATTTTGGCTTTTTAGAAGTACCTGGGAGCAGAGTTTTGGAGGAAGACATTTATTATTTTACTCGGGGGATAGTTCTAACCGAGTGTGGTATGAAATAGTTCTGGGACTAATTATACGATCAAAATTTTTGACCAAACTAGAGCAATTTCACATTTTATTCCGAATTATTATCGTTATCCCTTCAACCAAACACCCAAAAATAATCTACATCCTTACTTCCATTTTATCAATTTCTTTTGAAGAAAATCACGGTAAGACATGTTAATGACAGATCTTTAGATATGTGAAGTCTCAATTTGAAATTGTTCAAAATTTGTGGAGAAAAATGCTTGGTTCTTTAAACATTTGTTAATTCCTTTTGATGATGATTCCTTGCAATAGTTATTATGTACAATAATCAAGTCCAAATAAAAATCAATTTACCGTTTGCTGTGGACCCAGCTTCATTCGAAAAAAAAAAAAATTGCAAATTTTAATCTTAATAATATGCTTAAATAAATATAACACAGACGAAATGAGTATTTTGCTTTTCGCCAAAATGATGGCTCTTTCATGGAGGTGCGGTTTTATAAGTTTTGTAAAAGCAAGGGCCAAGGGGTGCCATATTACGTTCTTAAAACCTCTAGTTTCAGGTCGCTGACTTGCTGTTACCGTCCAACATAATTTACTAAGATATGGAAATTTTGCTGTTGTGAAGCAATTCAACAAGATTTAATTTCGCTCACTTAGTTTATCCTTCCTTTAATCTTCGAGTACCAGTAGTATAGAATGATATCAACCAAGTGTACTCTTAGATTTAGATATAAAAGGAAATTCATGATGAAGTAAGATAAATTTTAAATATATTAATGAAATATAATAGAAATTGCTAGCTAATTTCGCCTTGTTTTCTCCTGGCGATATCTCCTCTTCTTCCTCTTCTTCTTCTTACAGTATAAATACCTCTATAATTAACAGATATCCTCTCTAGTTATATGAGTATTATCTTTCTTTTTCTACAAGTCCTATAAATTATTTGTCAAATTTTATTAATAGCATTATTGTACTTAATTAAATTTCATAACCTGGTTTCTTATCTAAGAATATCCTTTTTAATATATTTTTTTTGCTATCAATCAAACACCAAAAAAGTTTTTTCCTTCAGCTTTTGCAAACGATGAAAAAAAGTTTTTAGCAATTTTTGAGTTTTTGCAAAAGCTAAAAAAAAATCTCTTTTCTTTATGTTAAGTAGAAAAACATTTTTATGCAAAATCTTTAAGAAATTAAATTTCCAGAAAATCTTCTTCGAAATTTTGGCGCAAACACTACCTTTTGTCCCATATGAATGTAAGAAAATTAGAAGAAAGCAGAAACAGATGGATATTCATATTGTTCTTTATGTGAAATAATTACACAGGCATCCCAAAAAAAAGTAGGACCGCACAATTCTCTTATAGACCATAGTATAGTCCACACTAAGTTAAAGTATTCACATTCGGATATAAAAAGCAAGAATAGTAAACCCTAATATCTTCTTCTTCTTCTTCCTCTTCCTACTCTTCTTCCCCGATATTCCTTGTGGACCTCCTTCTTGTTTCATTTACTTTGGGTTTGGTTGCTTAAACAGATTAAAGCTAGAGTTTTATTAGAAGAAACTAAAGAGTCAAAAACAGTGGATCCAAGGCATGGAAAGAGGGGACTGTTCATCCAATGAAATGGAAGAGAAAGAGAATAATGATAATATTGATCATCCTCAACTTCAAGAGGAGCCCTATAATATATACTCATCAGCTCGATCTCAGCATGACATGTCTGCTATGGTTTCTGTCCTTTCTCAAGTTATTGGAAACAGTACCACCCATTCTTCTTCTGCTAATGTTACTCCATTAACCCTACCTCAGTCTGCTGTAGCTCTCCAAAACCAATCTCAATCTATTCATGAGGATCAAGGTACACACTACCCTCCCCACTCTCCGGACCTATTTATGAGATTATTACACTGGATATATTATTGTTAAGTGTCTCACGTTAGGGAGTGAGTTGTCGTCGTCTCCTTATATAATCTTGAATGATGCTAACCTATTAAGTTAGTTCCAAAATTGAGTTAGATCCAAGATCCACCTTTTTAAAAAAAATAAACAACCTATTTCTGTAAGTTGTTTATCATCTTCATTGGATGACAAGTGATTTCCAAAAAGATGACCATATTTAATTAGATGTGTTATCTGACTCATTACTTTTTTCGCAAGCCGATACATATTTTTATTAGTCTATATAACCTAATTATGCATCTCATTAATATCTTGTTCATGACCACTTTGGGTGGCGTCCTTAATTAATTGACCTTCTAGTTTGTAATTCCCCAAAATGGAAATAAACTGATTGTTTCCTTCATTCTTCCCACTAAATTTCTTCGAAGCAAAAGAAATAAAGAGAAAGGAAAACAAAGACTACGAGGGAAAAAGAAAAAAGGAACTTTAGGTAGCAGTTAACTTCAACTAGTTCAATTTCTTCCTAGAGTTACACCGACCTAGGTTATCAACATCACAACAAATCTAATCAAGTATTTTTAATAGGAGTAGGATTTAACTTATATACATTGAAATTCCAAAAAAAAAAAAAAAACACTATCAATGTACCTTATCCTTCTGTAGCGGATAATCTATAGAAGTAGTGGAGTATTATTAAGTTATTAATCCCATGTTTATGAATGGTTATATAAATAGTCAGATCTCTCTATAACAGTATATGTATGTGTGAAGGGAATTCGAGAAGAAAAAGGTATAGAGGAGTGAGGCAAAGACCATGGGGAAAATGGGCAGCCGAAATCCGAGATCCAAAGAAAGCAGCTAGAGTATGGCTTGGCACTTTTGAAACTGCTGAGGCTGCAGCACTTGCCTATGATGAAGCAGCTCTCAGATTCAAAGGCAACAAAGCCAAACTCAACTTCCCTGAAAGAGTTCAAGGCAAATTTCAATACCTTACTACTGCTACTAGTCAAGATCATCACCACTTGCCTAATAATATTGTTGCCCAACAATATATTCCAACTACCTCCAATAATAATCATCCTCTCCCTTTTCAAGAACATTATCCTAGTTTACATCACTATGCTCAGCTTCTTCAGAGTGACAGCAATATTACTGATTTAAACTTCGGCGTCTCGCCAAGTTATAATCAGCAGTTATCTGATTCTTTTGATTTTTCGCAATCATCATCTAACAGTACATTATCAGAATTGCCAGCTTTGACATTACAATCAAGTTACAAGCAAGAAGAAGAAGTTTTTATGAGATTTTCATCGCATTTTGGTACTTCTTCAAGCTCATGTGGACCTCATGAAAGTAACTGGGAAGAGTTTGAAGATAGACAGTCATAAGTTCATTCCCTAGTATTAGGAGATATGAAGACTGAAAGAAGTTTTTATGAGATTTCCATTGCATTTTATTTTCTAGTTTATGGTTGTACTGGGGTTTCTTATCCTCTTTTGTTTCAGTTAAGTGTAATACTTGAGTAGGCTAGCTTTTTAGCGTTATTTGCTTGGAACTATATATATTCATGAAGTTATGGCAAAATATTGGTGTGGTTTTATGTGTTTAAGGTTAAGTTTCAAGCTAAAACTCGTTCCCAATCTATGAAATATATGTATAGTTGATGTAGTGGTGGAAAAATGCTTTGAAAAAATAGTTATCCATCCATATTATCTACTAAAAAATGGGTTGGACAAAAAACTTTTAAAAATGGGTTGAATATGGATGAAATCCATATATTATCCACTTAAAAATGGATAACTAATGGGTTTAACTTTTACTTTTGCAAAGACTCAAATTGGAGTTTCTCAAGTTTGGAGACTAGGAATTCTCCCAAAAGTGATCATACTAAAAAAATCATGAATAATATGGATATCTATATTATCCCAGTTAACCCATTTTCTATATGTATTGAATATGAATCCCGTCAGATATAATTATCCGTTTTTGAATTACTCATTTTCGATCTGCCCATATTTGATCCGACCCACCCATTTGCCACTCCTAAATTTGGATGCATCAACATTTATTCATCTAGTGACTGCTATTGTGCCTAAAGAACGACTAAAGAAAGCACTGTTCGCTATATTGGATTAAAGAAAACGAACCCCTTTCTCATTTTGTACAAGACAGTCATTTGCAAAGATTAACTCAATTCATATGGGACTTCCAAATAATTTTATATCGTCTCAAAAAAATTACAAATTTGTCAAGTGTTACTCCTAGTCCATGTTTCTCAATGTGAATATTTGTAAAGCATATGGCATTTAATGAAAACAGTATTACATGCATAATGATGCCAAGTTAAATAAGTTGAAGCTATATATAGCGAATAGAGGAGTAGAATTTTAATTTTGTGTAGCTGAAGTTGGCTAATAATTGAGTTACTCTTTTGCATGGCAAACAAATTAAAGTAAGAAGGAACGCCGTCCTTTCCTTATTTAATTGTCACGTATATTTATTAAAGTAGTAGATGATACTGACTAAGTACTTAAAGGATATCTAGTTTTCGATCAGCTTCGTTACGTTAATAGATCATAGTGAACATACAAAATATATTTCGCCATTTCCCTACATCTCAACCATTTTATTTTTTCTTAATGAATTATATACAATAATACCAATATTACAAGTTTTACACTACTGCATTTTTTCTATATACTATTGTGATTTTGTATGCTTGCTTCGAGCCGAATGTCAATCGAAAACAACATCTCTATCTGCATAAGATAGGGGTAAGGTTCCATACTCACTATCCTCCTCAGAACCTACTTGTGAGATTACACTGGTTTATTGTTTTTGTAATACCAATATTTGAAGATGAAACAAATGAGGCCTCAAGAAGTATATGATTGACTATTTCTCATAAGTGACATATCATGAACGGGAAAATAAGTGATTGTAAAAAAATGACAAATGGGATTAATTAATGAGTTAAGATTTGAATGATTCATTACTAATTGAGCAGCTTCTTTTCAGAGGCCAACAAATTATTTTATTGATTACTTACCATTCTGCGTTAACTTAAACAAACAACACTCCCCTCCCTCTAAATTTCATCAATATAAGCAACGGCACAATGTGCTGATCAAGTCATGAAAATTTTAGAACTTTCCCTTTTAAAATTTATGTATGTCTCCAGTCTCTATTAAAGTTCATAAAAGCCAACTTTTTGAACGTAGTTTTGATTTTTGAGTCAAGGCCAAGAATATATTTGCTGGAGAATGAGAATATATATAACATCATTTTGGTCTTTAGATGGTAACTCTAAAGAATGGATTGTGTACAGGGGCTTAACTTCTATACAAAACAAACAACAAACGCAGTGTAATTCCATTAGCGGGGGTTTGGGAAAATAGTGTATACGCGGACCTTAGCTATTTTGAAAAGGTAGAGAGACTGTTTCCGATAGTCTCACGGCTCAAGGAAAAATAAAAAGAAGCAATAACAACAAACATTAACTTACGTATAAAGAAAATCTAATTTTTTTAAAACACAAACAAGCTACCTAAAATAAATATTAACATATAGCTGTCCATATGAAGTGAGATTAATTATCTGAAAAATAAAAGGACAATCTATTATAAAACGTTAAATAACACTGTGCAAATTATTTTAGAACATCGGGGCGTATAAACCAAATCCTATATATAGGTAGTAAAGACGTCCTGTGCACCAATTAATGATTGCGGCGCTTAAGGCATAGAGTGACCCAGGCACGATGGACCAATATTAACTACTCCTATAACATTGTTGAAGAAAATTCTATTTTACTTCGGAGTCTCCATCCTTCGAGACGGAAGTGGATTCAGAATTTAAATTTAATAAGTTTAAATTATAGGTTCAAACCGAGTATTTATTGAGATATAAATAAGTTAATTCATACTCAGTATTAAAAGTTATAGAGAATTCGTAGCCAAAAGACAACAGCCTCCTGTTAAGGGACTAGACTTTATTAAGACGATAGCTTGTGCTCGTGAGGTGAACATATTTTTTATTCAAAAATAAGGGAAAAAATGAACATTAAAACATTATATTCCTAACATAAACCGGCGAACTTCAGAAAGAAAAAAAAAAGAGTAGAAAAAATAGATATAAGAAAGATCGAAAAGGCATATATACTCCCCTTTCCTTTGTTATGAGGCTAGTTCGATAACTCACCTTTTGGCGTTAATTCCAAAGCTTGAAAAAAGGATCATCTGAGCTTTCCTTTTTAGCATATAAACGTGCATGGCTTATCATTCTCAGAACCTTTATTTAAAAGCAAGTTGAAGATGACTATATTTTAGTGGTAGTTTCAGAATACAGTGAAAGTAAAGTACTGAACTTGGGCATGCATTTTTCAACTTCTAGGTCTGTATTCTCTGTATCTTATTACCTTTATAAAGAGATAGAGAGAGAGAACAAATGTGAAAGGTTGAACAAATGTTTCACAAAGTAATTCAACAAGTCATAGAATTCGGCTTAGGTTGACCAATTCTAGCCAATATATAAATTTAACCCGACTACATCATATTAAATGGCTTTTTCACTACTGTATTTTTTTTATATTATTGTTAAATTTGTATTTTTTTTGAGTCGAGAGTCTATCGAAAACAGTCATTTTACCTCGATAAAATAGGAGTATGCTGTGTATATAGCATCCTCTCCAGATCCCACTTATAAAATTACAGTATATTTAATTTTGTTATTGTTGTTGTTACCATCATTGCTAAAAAGCAAGCCATATCATTCAAGGATCAAAGTGAACAAAACACGTAGCGAAACAAGGACCGTCTAACTTTCATGAATCATGATTCATTTCTTTGCTTTTCGTTTTTCAAGACATCATTGATGGGGGCGTTCCCCTATAGTTTTATCCTAATTTTCTTAATAAAATTAGATAAGTACGTTAATTGCTTTTCTTCCTAAAGCAAGTCTTATTAAAGGGTTTCTCGAGTCACTTTTGTATTCCAATAGTTTTTGATTTACATAGTGAAGTAATAATATATGGAATTATGTGTTTGACCAAGAAATATAAACTTTTGGTTAAATTATTAAATTTTATGTAATAAGGGGTTAAACTTAGTTAATAATAATATCTTTAGATATAGAATATGACAACTTGGATGACATAGGATAAAGTCGGTGGGAGATTGAAAATAACACACGTTTAATATTCCAAAAGGTATGGATAATAATGGGGAACAACTAACAATAAATAGCAACAAATGACATTTATGTAAATAGGAAGAACAATTCACCCAATAATGAATGAGATAGATGATTGTTCCTTCTGACAATGATCAATGACGGGCAAATCATCGAATGCTCGAACTATTCTCGGATCCGATGGAAAGATAACGTATAATGTGTGCAAGAATATTGTAAAACGTAATGTTTGTATTTTTGCTAGAGAGAGAAACTTCTTCTGAAAAAAGTTCTTATGAAGTCAATATTACATGTCCTACACTATTATCTCTTTTCTATTTATATGAGTCATATCCCTAACAAACCCTAATAGTACAAGTGCAGAGAATATTCTATTGAATATTCTCTTTACTATCCTATTACAGAAACTAGCTATTATTGTTCTGTCCTTGGTGCTTGACCGCAGTCGTTGTTGACAGCCCGACCACGAATCTCACTGCTTCCTGGTCGACCTCGACTGATCCTTCCTTAATGTCGCTTTACAATAAATTTTCTTGGAGCAGATTTGGCCTATACAGTTAGTCTCCCCGCTTATTGAGGCCTACCCCGGACGACCTTGATGAGCGGACCCTATTTGTCATGGTTGGGAAGTTTGGACGAGCAAGTCGAGTAGTGGCGTTTCGGACGAGGTGACAACGTGACCTTTCGTGAGCCGCAACCTTTGGGGTCACATCGATCAGAGTGACGTCATGACATCATACGTCATTATTACGCGTTTTCCCGATGCCTTGCGTCTTTCTCGTGCCTCTACCATTTCGATACCTGCACTGGGTAATGATGGTTTGATTTCTCGATCCTGATGCTTGAACTCTTATAAATAGGGATATGAAAATATTCGTTTATTTTTTGCACTATAAATATCGAATCTATGTGTCTTCTTTTTCATTCTTCATATAGAGTTCTTGCCCTCTTTGCCTCACTATCGTATATCTTTTTTCCCTAATTCTGGTGATACCAACTGCCCATAACTTTTCTGCACTTGCAACATCCTCTCTAAAAAAAATAGTTAACGTATCTTCTAGTTTCGGTAGGGCAATTGACCCTGTTCCTTTGGCGGTGCGTATGCCTCCCCATGACGATAGTGTTTCTGTTGCCGTTGAAGACGAGAATTTTCCTTCGGTGGAGAAGATAATCTCTCGTAGTGAAAAAGTTAGATCCGATTTTTTGAAGGTGCCTGAGGACGACCCTGAGATCTCGGAGTCATTGACGAAAGAGGCTGAACTCGCAGAGTTTAGGGCAAAGGTCAAAATTCCTGCCCATATCGATCTAATTCCAGTAGAGCGCGATGTGGTACAAATACATTGCCTTGGGTATTGCGCTTTCTACGCGTACCCTTTCTACGTCGGCTACTCTTTTCCTATTCCCCATAGGCGGAGGAATT